GTCAGCGACGCTGGTCAGATCCGACTCTTCCAGCTCCCGCTTCAGGCTCAAAAATGTCCCTCTCATGACCACGTCCTTTCTTGCCAGGCTCTTGCGCTGAGAGAACATAATCAGAACCACCACTTGTCCATCGAAACTCCGACCAAACTGTGAGACACAGCTTCGTCTTCACTGAGTAGTCAGTTTGAGCCCAGTACTTCTCAAAGAAAGATGCACACGCACCAAGAGGCTTCGTTTTTGGGTTTCCGGCTTCGTTTTCCCAGGAATGTGCAAGATTCTGCGAGATCTCATCAAAAAAGATCCGTTTTATATAAAACCTTAACGCTATGATTTTGACTGTGGCTCATTTAAAAGCATTGTATCAATAACTATTCACTATGACAAATATGACCCAACAAGAGCAGGGAGATGCATAGAATTACTAGCATGGATAAAAACAAAAAGTGCATGTATCAACATTAAAAATCAAGACCAAAAATGCTTCAAAGGCTGTATTCAATCCAAAGTCTATGACAAAATAAGCAAACATCACCTAGAGGAAATGTTCCACTATAATAAACTGAAAGATGATATTTTGAAGTGGGATGGTGTACATTTTCGAACTGGCAATAGGGACATTGACAAATTTGAAGAGAACAAAAAATCAGTTTCAATAAATGTTTTTGAAACCGATAACTGCTTAAATGGTACTAAGATTATAGTGCATAGAGGCACTAAAAATAGAAATGCTAAAAACGAAATTGATTTACAAAAATCGACGATGAAGATATAAATTTATCGCTATGTATTAGTTAAAAATAAATGTAGATTATTAAACTGTCAAAGCAGTAGCAACACAAATAAAACGTTTTACTGCCACCATTGTTTAAATCCCTTTCAATCAGAAAAGGTATAAAGGAAACATCTTGAAAATGGATGTGTGGCATCAGAAGGACAACAAACAAAGATGCCTGCTAAAGACACTTATATAGAATTTGAAAAGCATAATACTAAATTGCCTTGTCCTTTTGTAACCTATGGTGATTTTGAATGTCTAACGATTAACTCTAAAAATGGTACAAAAGGCACATATCAGGAACATACACCATGTGGTTATATGCTAAATGTAGTAAGCAGGATTGATAATACATGCCAACCGTATTTGTACAGAGGTGAGGACTGTATGAAACAGTTTGTAGAAAAACTGACTGAAATTAAGAAAGATATAATTGAAAAATGAATGTTTTAAACCGATGGATGAAATGACGAACGAACAAAAATTAGTTTCTATTTTGAGAGTCAGGAAGACAGCCAGAGGCTTGTTTAGTTGATTCTTTTTTATGATTTTTATGATAATTTGATGAAAACTAATTGGTCCTCAATTTTTGGAGATCCATGTTTGATTGACTTCTTATGACTTTATATTTTTATGGATAATTCATAAAACTTTCATTTACAAAAACCATAAAATATTCAAGAATGTTTCATAAAATAATCATATTTTCAGATTTTTCAAAAACTTTGTGATTTTATATTGATTTTTTACGATTTGTCGAGAATCGTTAAAAATCACAAAAATCATAAATTTGATGAAATTTTCAATAGAAATTGATGAATATTTTACGATTTTAAAGAAAATTTTTATGATTTTATGAAAATTTTAAGATTTGTTGAGCACATCAAGAAATTAGAAAATAGTTTCATAAATTTTTCATAAAGTAAAAGCCAAAAATTGTTCGTTCATAAATGCGTTTCGTAAATGTTTCATAAATAAATCATAAAAATTGTTGAAAACCATATTTCGTAGCCTCTCCCCAATTCACAATTTTAATTGTCGTCTCATTGCTCCATTTGCGGTAAGAAATTTGAACCTGACGATGAAAAGGTTCGCGACCACTGCCACTTCACAGGCAAATACAGAGGCGCAGCGCGTGTAAAATGTAATTTGGACTATTCATTTAGGTATTTTAATCCCTATTTTCTTTCATGATCAAAAAACGCTGACTTAATCATAGCAAAAGCAAATGAACTAACATAGAACTAAACCAAAGCAAAAGAATAGATGTAATAGCACAAAACAGTGGAAAGTTCATAACCTTTTCATTTGGCGCTTGTCAGTTTAAAGACAGCTTCGCTTTCTTAACTGCCTCATATAATAAGTTAGTTCGATTAAACAAATATGAAGGAAATCAAAAGACTAAAGATTGGGAAACTCGTTTCAGATATACAAGCACCAACCCATATATTAAATCCAAAACTGACTTGAATTGCTGACTGATAAGAGTGTATATCCCTATGACTACATGAACTCATGGGAGAAATTCGATGAAACAGAACTACCAAAGAACGAAATTTTTTTTACAGTAAACTATATGAAGAAGACATAAATGACAAAGACTACACCAGAACAAATATTGTATGGAAACATTTTAGAATTAAAAACCTTGGTGAATATCATGATTTGTATTTGATGACTGATGTATATTTCCTGAATGGTGTTTTTGAAAATGTTAGGAAGATGTGTTTGAACTACTATGGATTAGACCCAACATATTTTATCACTTTACCTAACTATTCTTGGAATGCCTTATCCTCTTTTGCTTCTTTCTCCTTTCTCTCTTCTTTCGCCTGCGCTTTCTCCTTAGCTTCTTTTGCCTTTGCTGCACGTTTCTTCTCCTTTGCTGCTTCCTCCTTTTCTGCCTTCTCCTTGCATGCCTTCTCCTTCGCCGCCTTCTCCTTCGCTTCCTTTTCTTTTGCCTTCCTCGTCAAAGCATCCGCTTTCTCTTTTGTCTTCTTGTTGTTCTTGGCTTTGGCTGCTGCTTCTGCCTTCGGGTTCTTCTTCTCCTTCTTCTTCTCAGCCTCAGACTTCGGTGATGCCTTCTGCTTCGCCTGCTTTTTCTTGACCTTGTTGTCCTTCTTTACCTTGCTGGTAGCCATGACGAACCACCCAAAACCAATACACACTGACGCAAAGCCAGCGCTGCTGAGGCCGGCAGATCGCTGAGAGGACAGAACGACGTGCTCTGCAGAACGACGTGGTTGGTTTGACAATCGATCAAAGTCCAAAAGAGAGGATGTGAGACTACTTAGCAAGTCTGGCGTACTATGGTTTTGGGGGAAGATACCATACGCGGCATTTCTGCACCATGGGTGGCTGACTTCTTAACCAGACGCGGCTGACTTAGTTCAAAAAACTTCCAGAATCTTCACGTTTGGTTCATGACCTTCCTCTTCACTAGAGAAGCGGACGGCGCCTTTGAGTATGTGCTTGATGACCAATGGAGGCATCCGGCGCCGCGGTTTGCAGCAACCCCCCCACCCATATATATATATATATATCTTTTTGTTATATACCTCCATGCTCCCCCATCCCAAGTTCTTTGGTTTTTGCGGTTCTTGAACATGACTTGATTGAACGCAGACTTTGCTCTGCAGTTGGGCAGCCTCCATCACCCACTCCCCACCAACTGGTGTGGACCCAATCTCTCACCACTCCAGGACCAGCTGGTGACCTGGCCGGGGCTCTTCGCGCAATTAAGGAGGCTGTCGCCGAGCTGGGCTGTTCAGGGCACTTGGACCTTGGAAAACCACCCACCCAATGTGGCCGATGATTTTTTCCCATGTTCTTGTGCGAGAATCCCAACAGGCTACACCCGTTGGCACCGGTTTGTTAATTTGGCAAAGGGCTGAGGTCATGAGGTATTTTTACTTGCCTCAAGCCAAGGCATCAAAAATAGGCTGCAAGTTAGCCCAGTTTGGCCATTTTGGATTGGCCTGACACTCCTTGGGATTGCCCTAAACTTCTGTACAGCCGTCTTGATCAGGGTTCGTGCTTTCTGTTTCATGGCTTTCTCATGGGCGGATCTGAGCTTGGCTAAAGCCACCCCAAACCTAGGGTTCAAATGAAGAAATCCAGAGTGGTAACATCCAAACCAATCGTTTGGGGAGGGAGGGAATTTAGGGTCGCCCAGAAGAGACTGAAGAACAAGCGCTTTACCAACAGATCTGGGAAACGGGGGGGATAAGATTGGGAGCTCTTGAGTAGAGCTCCTCCCTTGATCCTGGGCTTCCCCGATTTGTCGATGTAGTGTTCTACAAGCTCAATCTTTTGTTGCTCCGGAATGTAGCGAGGACGGAACTTGTGTAACTGGTCAATGCACTGCTCCGAAGAATACAACCACGTTGGTTTAGCCGACGGTCCGCCATAGTCGCCCATGTTCATCGTGGCCCTTACTGTCTTGACCATGGCTAGGTGTTGTTGGAACGCTGGGTGGCATTCCATCAAACTGTTCTGGGGCTGCTCCAGAAGTGTCCAGCAGCCCAAAGTAGCTGCAAAAACCAAAAGGGTTCTAGCGCAGAGCACATTGCCGAGAGCCTGGGTGGGTTCCAAGCGATCATGCGTTTGCACACCCAGAATTCTTGTTCCAGATTTTACATCCACATGTGCTAGAAAGAGGGCGTCCTTTGTGTATAGTGGGGCTTTCCTTACCATGACCCTTCAGAAAGGAATGACTTGCCTTTGAAGTTCTTAAGTAAAGGCGAGCTTCAACAGATGGATAGTTTTCCTGGCCAAGCGGTCTTGATGCTGAGCGCTTTGTAGAGCCTCTAGACCTGGTATCAAGCTGCGGGAGATCAACCCACTTTGGTTGCAAGAGAGGTTGGGAGCGCACACAAGCGACCTCCGAAAACTCGAAGAAAAACAGGGGGTTGCTTGTGTTTCATTTTAACCACACTTGATGGGCGCCGTTTCGAGAAATAGAAACTAACCAACAAAGAGGACACTAAAGCTTTGGCTATATGTACAGCTGAGGGTCACAAACACATACGTCGAACATACAGGGGCAGCAAGGGAGCCACTGCCAGGGCGCAACCGGTTGCTTGGTACAATGCACTGATAAAGCCTTCTGGGGTCGCTAGATTCATGCTTTCGTTGTATCTGATATCCAAGGCTAAAGATTGCAACCGGCCTTCGCAGGGGAAAAACCATTTGGCAGAACATGAACCTAGGGTTGGGTTGTTCTTCAAACCAGCTCCTGGAGCTCACCGCGAGTCACAGACATATCGCCAGCGAACAGCTCCAAGTGATCGAGCTCGTCGGCTTTGCTGTGTCGCAGGTAGGGCAGAGCGAAGATCATGTTGATGATCACAGCCAGGACCTCGTTTTTGCAGCAAGCGGGTTCCAAACTTTGAAACTCAGGGAACACACCCACTCTTGGTTGGATCCTTTCTTAATTGGTTTCTGGTGACTGGCCTGAAGGAATTGAACACTTTAAATTACCATGCAGCACATGTTTCCTTTCGTTTCAGAGTTATATGGCATATATCCCAGGGACAGCTGGGGCCTTCATCATGCGTAAACCCGCAATGATGCACCGGTGTTTGGTCTCCTTGTACCCCAAGCCAGCTGCGTCATCAGGCTGAATGGCACGAGGCTGCCGCTTTGCCATCTTCAAGGCACTCCGCTTGATGGAAGGCTTTCCCATCACTGAGGGGACTTTAGAGTCTCTCTGGCTTTTGTTTGAACAAAACACTATGCAAAACATAGTTGCTTGCAGTGGTAAGAGCTCTCAAAAGATACAACCCATTGGGCTGCATTGCGAAACATGAGCAAACGCCTTGTTCGGATGGGGCGCTCAACGGTGATTTCACCTTCACCCCCTAAGAACTTTCCTGTGATGCTTTGCATCACTACCCCCCCATCATATGCTGGAGCCACTGTATGAACCTAAGGCCCCAAGCAAAAATGATATACCGACAACAAAATGAAGGCCCTTATGGCAAAATGCCAGCTCGAGTGCAGGCCATGATCCACGCTGACCTGAAGCTCAACTAGTTGGCAGACTGGAAGCAAACCTTTAAATTGACTGACCTTGACTCGAGTAGACTAGAACAGTTTCCAGGTTTGACTCGACCATGGGAAATAGCGTGAAATAGAACAGCCTTTTGAAAGACAAATCCAGGCACTTGATACCACCATTCTTCAACCAGGAAACCTGGCCCTGGTTTGGCCCCCTGACAAAGAATGCGCGAGTCCTCAGCAACACCTCGATCTGACCTTTGCCACGGTAGACGGTGTAGCTGTGCTTGCCCTTGCGCACGCGGTCCTTCGCAGGCCTTGCCTGGTTTGGAAGCTCCGCAAGGCAGTACTCGCCATAGAACATGTCAGGGTGGGTCTCGGGCGTCATCTCCACCTGTGACATTCTTCGGTGGATTTCCTATCGCGGTTGAACATGGCAGAAAACATAGCCCTCTTTTGGAGTGTGTTTTTGTGAAGATCCATTCATTTGCTTTGCGTGTGCCAGAACAATAGAGGATGACATGTGAGGAGAGTTTTTGTTGGGGTCGCCCACAAAGCCCCGCCTCTTTCTCTGCCTTCTTGCCACCATGTCCATGTCCACGGCGAAAGGATGCCCTTTGGTTCTTCGAGTTGCCCTTGTTCATGGGTTTCTTAACCTTCTTGGCCTTCTCAGAGGTCTTGCTTGGGCTCTCACCCAGGGTGTCCTAGGATTGGTGCGAAGGAAATTTCAGGATGGATGTAGAAGGCAAAATGCAATTGAAGTTGAACATAACTAAACATCTTAGAGTCGACCAGGGGGGGCTCGCTCCCAAGAAGTTCTTGAACAACAGGTCCAAACCAGTTGGGCGGATGAATAGGAGGCGTCTTGGAAGTCTTAAGCGAAGGGGCTGCGACGGACTTGGGGTTGTGGATTCCCATCAAACCCAAAGCAGCTTGAAGGGTATCTTCCTTAGACATGTTGAGAGGACCAATCCCCTATTTTCCATTTCTATCTAGCCAACTCTAAAATTCAAGAAACAGTTCCTGTGGTAAAAACTTTTCAGCCCCAACCAAGATTCATCCCCATCCACATAATGGCCCAGCGCACCAGCATCACTGGACTCGGAGTCTGTGGCCACGCCTCCACCAAGACCATGCCCATCAGAGCCCGCAGGAACAGCAGGCGAATCAGAAGACTCATCTTCAGACAATGTACCATGAAGACCATGACCATCAGAGCCAGCAGGTACCGCAGGCGAGTCAGCTGACTCATCTCCACTTGACTCAGCAGTCGACTCTTCCTGCAAGGGATCCCCTTTCTAGAAATTCAACACAAAGCTGTTCAAAGACAACAAAAACGATGGAACTCTTTCCATTTCCACAGGGTCGCCTATTGTTCATGGCCTATGTCGCAAAAGCTTTAAGAACCAAACTTTGAGCGCCTCTGATGCACTTTTGGCATCAGGCCCCACAGCAGCTGCCCCGATAGGCTCGTCCCTCATAGGCCCATCCTCACTGTCTTCCCCGGAGTCACTCTCCATAGGGTCATCAACACCCTCACCCAGCACAAGGGTAGTTGCATCATCCGGGTGCGGGTCCATGTCCTCAACCTCGCGCCGAGCTCCAGCGTCTTCAATGGGCATGGCCTTCAACCCACCGGGCTACAAACGCAAAGCAATCACAGTTTTTGAACGCCATCAACTTGCTTAAACCTTATCGCCAAATTCTTTCAGGCGCCGCGCCTCTTCTTCGTCTTCCTCTGGCAGCACTCGCCTCTCCAGTCGATCGCGACGAGCCTCAGGATGACGTGCCCGGTTGAGCAGACCAATCCAAACACTCAAAGTTTCAACGCACATTAAAAGGAAAAAACACACACGCACAAAATGGTCTGACTCTATGTCCAAAAGCCTGCGCAACTGGAGATGGCCGAAGAAAGCTCTTAAGCTCATCAACACGCGGGTCGTAGCTGCGCGCGCCTGTGACCAGCGACCATGGACACCAACCACTTCTTGGGGGCCTGATGGGGCCTGGAAAGCCATCATTAAAAACACGATACATGAGCGTAGTCTCACAATCAACCAAGGCACTGTTCCTGTAGAGGTAGCGCAAAGCACCCACAAGCCGTTTCAGCCTGCTAGCCTCGCGGCCGGCCTGTAACTTCTTGCCATCTCGTCAAGCATCAGCCAGACATCGGTCAAAAACACAGAGCCCGGTACACATGTTGGGAACTCCTCAACCGCTGGCCGCACGTACACATAATTGCTTGCAATCTCCTGCGCTGGTCTAGATCCAAAGACTTCTTGTAAGACTGTTCAACTAATTTAGCGCTAAAACCTTTCCAAGTGATTTGGCCTTGTTGTACCCCCCACGTTTAATTCATAGAAAAACCACCTTCCCTTTCCCCTATCCTGCCTTGAATGTCGGGCGGTGAATTTCGGATTTGACTTGCACTAAGTCGCCTCCCCTCCAATCACCGCTGACGATGATAGACATAGCACGCTCTGGGAACGATCGCAGCATGCGGTCCGCGACATTGTCCTGTAGTAACAGGAGGACCCCACAGGAAATAGACGTTTAGTGAACGTCTACCCAATCTACCCCCTATTTAAAACCATTGAAAACTTTTTTGGCTAGAAAGCAAGTTGCCACAATCTGCTCGTTCCACCAAATGCGTCCTGGTCCTGGGTCACCATTGTTTTTTGGCGAGACGAACTGGTGGACAGGAGAGAAAACCACCCATCCAAACACTTCTTGAGAAATCATGGGATCCCACTCTCCCTATAATTTACAGAGAGAACTCTTTAAGGCATACGCATATGAATATATATATATATAGGAAAATATCTACCTATACACATATGTATATATGTATATCAAAAAGACTCGTTGATGCGAGGGGCGAACCGACTTCCAAGCTGAGTTAGGCTCAACGATCGCCATGATCCCTGTCAACCTGCTAGGTGGTATACTGCATTGGAATGCACTGAACCGCCCGGTTCCAAGAAACTGGTTTCTCTGCGCATGGCTGCACTTCTCAAGTTTCTAGCGAAGGCCCCCAACCTAGTTGCGATGGCCTCTACCCTACAGAAGCGATGGCCTCCAACCCAGGAGCGGTGGCTTCTTGCAATGGCCTCACACCTAAAAGGGATGGCCTCCACCCTAGAAGGGGTGGCCTCCAAGCGATGGCCTTCAACCTACATTGCAATGGCCTCCGCCCTAGAAGCCATGAACTCCAACCCAATTGCGATCTGCGCCACTGCGCCTGAGGTTGGATCGATGAGCGTCGAGCCTGAGAGCCTGAGTGGGCGACGTGCGAGGAGAGGGCATAAACCCCATGACCCCCAAACAAGTCCCCAAACAAGACTTTTCATCTCCAAGACTCTGAATATTCAGAAGGCTTTCGAGCCGCAAAAGAATGGGTTCGCGCCTCGTGATGATCGCGCAACTCGGCTTGAAAAGGAGGTGGAGGCACTGAGAATCTCCATGGAGCGGATGCAGGAAGCTTCGCAGGGTCCTGGACGCGTGGCTGCATGCTCTCAGGCTCTCAGGATGTCCATCCACCACCTCCACAGGATTTGGGCACAGTAGGCCTACGGGGACATGACCTCCAAGAGCTGTTTGGTGATGGCTATGCTGGTGTTAGCGCGGGTGCTCCGGTTGATCATGAACGTGATAAAGTATGTCCCCCTGATCCTGACGGTGTATGTCATCCTTCAACCACGTACAGAGTGTTTGAGCCTGCAAGGGATTTCGTGGGTTCTAGTGGGGCCGTGCCCGACTGCAATCGGGATGGTGGCTATGGTCGCTGGCGGGATGAGGGTGGTCAACCGCCCACTATGCCTCTACCTTGGAATGAAGGTTCTGGAAACAGCAAAGCTTCCCTTCTCGCACGCCAAGTGGCGGCCAGTGTTGGTCGCCTCGTCGACGGCGAAGTTCATCCAAGGTCTCATACCCCTGAAGAAAACTAATTTCAGTCGAGTTGCATGAGGTGGGAGGTCCAAAAGGTGGCAACGGCACTTCCGGCAGTTGAGGTGGTTGCCCATCATGCAGGAACTTGAGTGCCGTTGGGCGTATAGCGAACCGCTGGCCGCTCCGAACGCACCCTTCTAGTTGTAGGACTTCCCCCCGTGGTGTATGAGGACCATCAACTGGGTTCTTCAACAAGGGCCGTTTGTCATCAGCTGAAACTCCTCCAGCCCGCAACCGACTGCCCATCTCTTCGTCCCCCGGTTGATGCGCACCCATCCCATCCGCAACCTCCCAAGACGATGGTGCCGAAGGTGCCGACGACGAAGTCCCACCCGCTAGCTTCTTCTTCATTTCCTCTAGTTCCAGGCGCAGATGATCATTCTGCTCCCTAAGGAAAGTGACCATTTCCGCTTCCAGAGCTCGCTGCAGGTTCCCTTCAGACTCAGGACCCCGCCTAGGCTTGGCTTGAACATGTTCAGGGGGCATAGGACCCATAGACTTGCACGGACCAGGAACAGGCTCACCAGCCATGTCCCCTGACGACATCCTGCCCTTCGATCTCTTTCCAGCGCCTTGCCCACCTCTTCCTTCAGGCGTCTGGTGGCTGGGTGGAGTGGCAAAAGCCCGCCCTCCAGTCGATAAGCCTCGACCCTTCCCTGCGCCACCAGTGAGCCCGTCTTCCTCGAGGTCGCCATCATCATGTGGCACCGGGAGATCTTCGGGTCTATGGTGTTGCAACCAAACCTCCTGTTGCACCCTTTCAGACCAGAAAGGATTGACCGGAGGGAGTGATCTTGCTCGATCCATGGCGCAGCTAAGAGCCGCTAGTTTGGGCTCATAACCCTTGACAAAAGGAATCCCCTCGCTCCTTTTTCACTCGAGAAACAAATGCCTGTAATATGTCATGTATCATGGTGCTAGCACCACGCTCAACGCTCAACAGAACCGTAAAACGCCTAAGGTTTCACTGTGGTGGGGAAGATGTTCTTGTACGGCTTCAATGTGTCATGCTCTGACACAATCTCGCATGCATGCTGACAACGCTTCAACTTTTATCTCCAGCTCTGGCGTTGCAGTGTTGTGGTTAAAATTCCAATCTGACATTTCGGCTCAATTAAGCTAAATTGCAAGCTAAAGCGGCAACTAAGGTCCTGGGTGAAGCTGCACAGGTTCCGAATTTAATTGGTTCAATGGCAGGGCTCTTATGGCCAAGGCGACAAATCAGAATGGCTTTGTCGTGCAACTGCTGCAACAGGCAAACTTGATTGTCGAAGAGGTATGACAGTTTGTGAGCGAGTACTAAAGCAAGGGATGCTCTTGGCACGCTTCAATTTCATAGATTCAAGGTCTTTTGGAAGCAAATACATGCCAAAATCCTCCTCCTCCCTAAGGTCCCTATCCTCTGATGTTCCCGAAACCTGTCTGCCATCTGTATGGTCTCCATTGTCTCCGTCATCCTCCGCTCTGTGTTGTGTGCCTGGCCATCGTGGTACTCTGTCACAATTCCTTGGTGCCTTCCGAAGTTGATCCTGGAACCACTGCTGAAGCTTCCATTGTCTTTCTTGGAGCCTTTCTCCTTCAGTGAGTTGAAGTATTCGTTGTACACGACCACCAAGCAGAAACATAGCGCTCCACATAATCAAGAACAACCAGCAGGTGATAGAATCCCACAAATGAGACTCTGATGCGATCGGACCGCTCCACAGCCGAAAGAAATGATCCAAAGCTGTTTTCGTGTTTTCATTCGTGTTGTCATTCGATTCCGGCAGAAAAAGTGTCAAAGTGTCGATCAGCCACCATTGAAGTGTCAAAGCCATGACAGCACTTCCTCCTGCAGAAAAGAAGAAATCCAAGGCCTGCTTTCTGCGGCAGCTACACCAATAGCCACCCAGGATTCCCACCAAGAAATGAAGCGGCATGAAGGACTGCCCATCTGCAACATGAAGCACCCTGGAAGAATATGCCAGGCGGATTGCAAATACACCTCAGAAAGCAAATGTGCGAAGACAACGGTAGCTCTTGTTAACAAGTGCTCTCTGCGCAAAACATGCAGTCTAGCCACTCACACAAAGACTAGCGCCAACCCCCACAGTGTAGCAGCCTGCTTCGGGCAATAAAGCCTTGCGATAGCCGACGGGGCGGACGGGGCGCTTTCAGAGGAGAAGGACGCCCCGAAGTGTCAATTCTTTTTGCAAGTTCTACGATGTCGGAAAGCACTGCAGATATGATGTCTATGTGGGTGGGTAGAGCAAAGCCTGTCTAGCGCATGAGGCGATGGGGATGTTTTGTGCAAACCTGTCTCTTTGACACACTCTAGCTCTATGTCTCGGCCCTTCTCCCGTTCGTGAAAAGAAAAATGTCTCGCGTTACCCGTGAGTGTAACATTGTCTCGCCCAGTGATCGCTGTCAGCATATACTCCAACAGCGATGCATATAGTATCGATCAAAAGGTGTGGGCGCACTATCTTCACTTGGTATACCGGAGCAAACCGATTTGCAAACACCACGGTTTCGCTAATTGTTCACTTGTTCTGATTGATTAGAGGTTTTATGGGTTAAACATGTTTTGCTGTGTTGTGCTGTCCTGCAGTTCGAGTTTCAAAATTCTGCAGCACCCCTTTTATTTCCACTTGTTTTTGAACTCACGGCAGCTGTCTCTTGTTCTCTATTCGGTTCCATCTGGACCACGATAGTAGCTTGACTTCAGTAAGTACAAGCCACCAAGGCGTGGTCTATAAGTTAAGTCCAAAATTGTGAAAACTAGACACACGACTCCGCGATGCACTGCAAGGCCAAAGTGTCTCGGTTGCTGCAGCAAGCGTGATACCATGCTTCTCACGTCCACGAGGCAAAGGGGATTCACAAACAAATCAAACGGGTAAAGTGAAACAAGTTAGCTTATGCGAGAGGAGGGGGACCAACTTGCACAAACGACGACAATGACCAATTGCGCATCGGCAAATGGATCACTTGCGCATTGCATGTTGTTACATAACACTTCGTATTGGATTTGAGATCTATGCATCGGACTTGGTGAATGTGGTGGGGTGGGGCGGGGTTAAGGACGTTGACTTCTAAATCTTCGACTAAAGTTCATGTAAAAATGTATTAATATCATTGAATATCAGAACATATCAAAACCGTTCCGCCAACAATTCGGCGACGCGCAAGCGATTCAAATCGCGCTTCACAAGCGAACCCCTGCCCCCTGCACCCACACCACAAGCAAGCACAACATTTATCGTACGATGAACACATCTCAACACGGAAATGAACCTATGCCAAACCAACCAGCCCTTCCAATCCTCGATCGCTTTCTTTGGTGAACCAGAAAAAGTTCTTTGTTGAAGAAACATGTTTGCAAAAGGCACCAACTGCCATCCTCCGCCAGAAGTGGGGATTGCTATTAGGTTGGAAGCCATTGCTAGTAGGTTGGAGGCCATTTCAGTAGAGAATGGGAAACATGCGTTCTCTAAGTTCCTCGTCTTCTCCTTTCTGTGTCCTAACTTAATCCAGGTGCGGGCGAGAAGCAAAAAGAATGCCGCCATAGCAGGCAGCAGCCAATACGCAGCTCACGCATGTTTCCATATCAAAATGCCTCAAGACGAAAATACATCGGCCTGCTCATACCAATGCATGTCCCATCATGTATCCAACCGTTGAAAATATCATGCCAGAGTGGTCACCGATTGACTCAATCAAAATGCGATCACATCTGATACGACGCAATTCCGTTCCAAGTATCTCGAGCGATGGGCCTGTTGCAGGATGGAGCATCCAGCATAAGCTCAAGATGGCCCCCAGGACAAACCACGAGATGACCTGTAGGAAATTTTACGGATTTCCTCACACCAATCTTTTTGTAGCTCTCAAAACTCAGTTCATTGATCTTCGTGCCTGGCATAGCTTTGGACTTTCTACCAGGAGCCAACTGCCCCGCAGGAACAGCAAGGCTGCAGCGACAAAGGCAAGCAAAGCCTGTTATCACAAAAAAGGAGATCAGTGTTTGTGCTGCTTGAGGCTTGACTCGACAAAATAGAGCGATGTTGTATATTGTTCATGTTGCAAGGGGATGAACAACAAAACCCGAAAGAAAACATGTTGGCCAAAAGGTCAACAACCTGAGACACAAGAAACGTGAATGTCAAGTATCCCAGCCTGTCCGTGTATGCCAACAACGCCGGCAATATGTTGGTAAGCACGTGTCCCTGACACGCAGTGATACGCAGTGTGTTGCTTGCAAAATGAATCCCAAACTCTTTTGACCGCCTGCACCCTCACGATACAAATCGGAAAACCTCCTGTGTTTAAGCCTCACTACTAAAAAATAACAAGATGAAACCCACGAACCCGAATGCAATTCGAAAAGCTGCATGTGTCCAAATGACACTCTTGTAGGACACTCTTGTGGGTCACTCTTGTAGGAAACTCTTGTGGGACACTCTTACGGGACACTCTTGTGGGACACTCTTGTAGGGGAAACTGTTGTGGGACACTTTTACGGGGCACTCTTGTGGGACGCGACACTTCCTCCAAAAGTCAAGCGGAAACACCCATCGCAGCACACACATCACGCAGCCCTGCCAAGCGGTTTCGCGATTCCAGCCCCTCCAAACTCCTGCTCACACGCCAATCCCAATGTCACAGCGACGTTCGAGTCTACCACAACTCACAACCTCACGATTCCCTGCGCCTGCCCCGAATCTTTCCGCGTCGACACGTCTAACACGCACAAAGCACTGCGCCTGGCACGAAATGTCACCTCCGTCACACCTCGCAACCGCACGATTCCCTGCGCCTGCACAAAGTACTGCGCCTGCCACGAAAAGTGACAATATCATATCATGTGAGCTTCAACAAAATTGGCACCACACCACACGTTTGGAATGATTTCGACCCGTTCTGAGCACACTCCCATCACCAAAATCGCAATTTTTTCAGCTGAGACCAGTCACGAAAACAGGGCTTCGATGCGACATCCTGAAATGCAAATCCCGAAGACACAGCCACGTCCAACACCCCAAAAACACAGCTCTCCACATGCTAATCCCAAAGGAACTGCGCAGAAAACTGCGGATCTCACAAAACGCTGCGCCTGCGCAATGAAATCCTCCTCCACACTTCAACATCTTACATTTCCACACGTTTCCACGCTATTTCGCACGAATCTGACACGTCACGTTTCCATCCGAAACCCTCTCCCAAAAATTCCCCCAATGGCAGCGACTTAGCGCCCTACCGCGAACGGTTGCGGACGGCCATCGCTAGTGGGTTCCTTTTGCTATTGGGTTGGAGGCCATCGCTAGTAGGTGCCTTTTGCTATTAGGTTAGAGGCCATCGCTAGTAGGTTCCTTTTGCTATTA